TTTTGGGATTAAAAGAACCCGGGCTATTTTGCAAATCATTAATAGTTGCAAAACTAGGCTGTTGGACTCCTTCAGAATGGAGTGGATGAAATTCTATAGGGGGGCCCTATAGATTTCGTCCAAGGCTTCTTAGTAGGAGGTCTATAGGCTGATTAAGGACTAAGCAGCAAACTAGGGTTTCCACCTGAAAACTCTAGCAGCCTCAGCTATTTAAAGACACCAAGACCTAGGGTTTCCGGCCAATTCTTAGAGCATAGAAACCCCAGCCGATTTTCTGCATATTCTCTTTTCTCTCCTCTCATCCTCTTGCTATAAGTGTTTGTGAGTCATTAGAGATGAAACATTTGAGGCAGTAAGCTTTTAAGAGTCAAAATCAACAAAGGAATTCTTGTTATTACTATATAACAAACAAGGTAATCTTCTAAACCCCTTTTTCATATGTGAATTTTGAATTATATTTATACTACATCCAGGGTTTTGAGTTGGAATTCAATTTTCATGTTTAATTAGTGAAAAACTTAGACCCAAAGCAATTTGGGTTGCATGATCACATAGGATGTTATTATGCTCAAAACCCATAAATGGTATTAGAGCCTAGGATATTTTTAAATTAAATTTGATGCCATAGTGAATTGTCCAAAGAAGAAGGGAGCAGATTCGTCAATCTGTTCTTGGAACTTGACGAGTTAATAATGGAACTCGATGAGTTCAAAGCCTAACTCGATGAGTTGACTCGTTAGATGCCTGATTTTTTGATTTTCAGATCTTGATTGGATTACGATAATTACCATAATTCGTTTTTAATGCCTAAAATTGAAATTTCTGAATAGTAATCTGATTTCCTTATCAAATAAGATTGATTTGGTTAAATTTTGAGATAATGACAAAATTATTTTATTAATTTAATTATTTAAGATTTGATCTACTAATTTTGAAAAGTTTCGAATTACGACCTATGGTTTTGGAATTTAAAATTTAATTAAAAGTTTAATTTTAAAATATTAAATTCTAGAACTCTAGTATTTTAAAAGTTTAAAACACACCCTTATACTATATATAATATTAAGAGTCTAAGATATATATATATATATATATATATATATATATATATATATATATGTATATGAACAGTCAGTCTTACAGTTAGTAGACCTCGTTCACGAAGCAGATCTATAAAGGGGCGGGGGGTATACGGAAACTGCCTATAAAATGGCGGTTGAATGAATGTCCACTCTCACCTACCGCTTCCTTGATTGGTGGAGGGTCATTAGTCAAACGGGTAGGATAGAACATTAATCTCTCATTAGTAAGTATAATGATAAATATAAAGTAACTATATGTTATTTAAAATTCCCAATCTTAGTTACTTTAGGAAAATGTGAATTTGATGCTAATCCATGAAATTGCACATTACACTTTGTCAATTCGTTAGTGGTGCGTGCATGGTTTACCAATACACTAACTTGGGCTAATAAAGAGTGGCAATGGGTAACTTGTAAATTATCATTGATCAATGGAGCGTGTGTGGTTAACCGACACATTGATTAGGTGGTAAATGACATCGAGAGTACTAAGCTAATTTCCATGGATATTTACACATTGTTTGTGATGCTCGGTATCCCAATCACAAACTTAAAGGGCATAATCGAGATTAAACATGCCATTGAATAGGTCAATGAATCTCAAAAGATCTAGGAATTTCATTTCATTCAAAACCTAATTCATTTAAGATTTTGTTTACATGGTGGAATTGGTAAATCGCCATTTACCTACCTTCAAATAACTTACAATTGGATTATGACATCCCTCTTCTGAATTGTGAATTGTTGTTGGGTCCTAGCCTTATTATTTCATTTTGGGTGCTATATTAAGGATTTCCTATCTAATCTAAAACTTGTTCTATTTTAGATGTCTACCTCAAACAACGTGCCTGGCTCCTCCAACAACAACAACTCCTCATATTCTTTCTCGCTCTTGAACGTTTGTGTGAGGGTCACATTCGATGGTTCAAACTTCAATGATTGGATCTGAAACATCCGAATGGCCTTGCACTACGAGGAAAAGGAATACGTCCTCGATAAAAGTTGAACGAGAGAGATGAAACTAAAGCTACTCCGGAAGAAATAGCTAAGTATAGGGCCCAATGCAAGGATGCTACTAAAGTGTCTTACATTATGGTGGCGACTATAACTCTTGAGCTCCAACGGTTCTATGAGGACTATTGTCCTTATGAGATGTGCCAATACTTGATGGAAAAATACCATCAAAGTGCGCGTTAACAAAGATGTGAGATAGTCAAGTCACTCATAACCACGAAGATGAAGCACAAAGAGTCCATCACGAGCCATTTTCAATGCATGCAGAGATATGTGATCGTTTACTCAAGTTGAATGTGAATTTCGATGAGGAGGTAGTTGTTGACATAGTCTTGCACTCATTGCCTCCTTGCTATAACCAGTTCAAGATAACTTATCATTGGAGCAAAGAGGAAGTTACATTGACTAAACTTCACGGCTTGTTGAGAACTGCTAAAAGTATATTGAAAGTAAACGATGTTGAATCCACTCCTACTGCTGCTCCAGTCCTGGATATTGGACAAGGAAAAAGGAAAAAGAGAAAAGCTCCCTCAAAGAAAAATTTGAAGGGAAAGTCTCATGAAGGGTCTTCTAGTAGTGAACCCAAAATAAAAGCCAATTCTGGTCCTCCTGCCTCAGATCCAATGGATGCAACGTGCTTTTACTCCCAAGACAAGGGGCATTGGAAGAGAAGTTACCCCAAATACCTATAGGACCTTAAGGATGGCAAGATCAAGCCTACCTCAGCAAGTATTTACACAATTTTTGTTGGATTATGTGTCTAAGCCTATAACTATTTTGGTATGTACTTGAGCCAATTATGAGCATGGTCCTTTTAGGTTGCCTTCACCATAGCAACTGATAGGATGAATTAAGGAGAAAGAGGATTAATTATGATTTATTAATATATTATATGAATAATATATTAAAAGAAAAATCATATTGTTTAATTAATATTGATCAAAAATTATTTTAGAATTAAATTTGTGGTCAAAATAGATTAATTAAACTTAGGGATTGAAATTGCAATTATAAGATAATTGGTTTTTGGTATGTATATCTTTTAGGAATAAGGTGGACGAATTCAAGGTGGAAGCCCACTTAGAAATCATCCAGGTCTTGATTCTGGAAGGATCTAAAGGGCTGCTTGGTGGCTAAGCAATCAAATTAGAGTTTTTACTGAAACCCTAGCAGCTCACCTATAAAAGGAACTCTAAGGCTCCCAAAATTCGACCCTATGCTTTCCAAGAGTGTATTTGATGAATTTTGTGCCTCCTTATCCCTCTCCTAAGTCATCTTGGTGCTTGTGGTGTTTGTGACTCTATTATCACTACATAATAATCAAGTTAAGATCTAAACCCTAATCATGTGTGATTTTCGGATTTGATATGCTAATTTTAGGGTTTATTGCTTTGGTATTCAATGTTGTATGTTCAAATTAGAAAACCAAGATCAAAGCAATTAGGGTTGCATGAACACCATAGGAATGATGTTATGCTCATAATCCATCAATTTTGTCTAAAAATTCATCGCATTCTAATTCTTGGGTCCTTGATATAGGATGTGGTTTTCACATTTGCTCTGACCTATAGGGACTAAGAAAAAATAGGAATATGGAGCTTGGGAAGATGAACCTGATAACGGGTAATATGAGATCGTTACCTATTACCAAGATCATCGTTTATTCTTTAAAGCTTAGTAGTGGATTATGTTTAGACTTAAATAATTGTTGCTACTCGTTAGAAATGATGACGAATATTCTTTCCTTTCATGGTTTATACAAACAAGGTTTTAGATATTCATTTAATAATGAAATTAGTTCTATTAATGCTTATTATAATGGTGTATTTTATTTTTAAGCATTGCCTGATGATGGTGTGTATGAAACTGTGATGGTTATAGACAAATTAGGAAATAGTGTGTTACAAATTGATTCATCTAATGGTCTATACAAAGCATGCATGTGGCATTGTCGTCTTGGAAATTATAACAAGAAGCGCATTGCCCAACTCCAAAAGGATGGAGTGTTAGAATCATTTGACCTAAGGTCGGATGATACATGCGAGTCTTGTTCCCTTAGAAAGATGAGTAAATCACCTTTCACAGGTCCGTGTGAAAGAGGTGAGGGATTGTTGGATCTTATACACACTGATGTGTGTGGGCCCTTTAGATCCACCATAAGGGATACAAATCGATTTTATGTGATTTTTACCGATGATTATAGAAGATATGGATATATCTACTTAATCAAGCATAAGGCAGAAACCTTTGAAAAGTTCAATGAGTTCAAACATGAAGTCAAGAATCAATTGGACAGGAAGATCAAGATGCTCAGATTTGATAGGGGTGGTGAGTATCTTAGTATCGAGTTCCACGACTACCTCAAGGAATGTGGAATTGTTTTAAATTTGACACCTCCTAGGACATCACAGCTTAATGGTGTGGCCGAGAGGCCTAATCAAACTTTGTTGGACATGGTTCATTCCATGATGAGTCAAGCTTCGCTTCTGATATCGTTCTAGGGGTATGCCTTAGAGACTGTCGCCCATATCCTTAATCTAGTCCCGACAAAGAAGGTGGTCAAAACACCTCACGAGACGTGGACATGGAAGGTTCCCTCTTTAGCACATATCAAGGTTTGGGGTTGTGAAGCTTTCGTTAGACGAGAGAATCACGGCAAGCTTGAACCTTAAAGTGAGTAGTGTATTTTCATCAGCTACCCACATAAGTCCTTTGGATACTTGTTCTATAGACTTAGTGAAAATGTGGTCTTCGTAGCACGAAAGGGAGTTTTCCATGAGAGGGAACTCATATGCAAAGACGAGAGAGGGAGTATGATTGATCTTAAAGAAATTCAACACTCTATGATGTATTTATGTTGTATATTTTTTACTAATTTTCCTTTTGCCTATTTTTTCTACAGATATGTCGAGACAGGGTCGTCAAGCTGCCAGTCAGTTACCTCATAATTGGCCATCGTATCCGTTTATACAGTTCCTTGATAATCTTGTTGATCATAGTTTCTTTGTCTCTCGCTTGATTTCTCTTATGTACAATAATATTATCCTACAAGCTCTTTTCTAGAGTGATGTGTATGATTCTGGTTGACGGATCTTCTGGATCCATTCCTCACCTAGGTCCAAGGGTCTAAAAAGCTCGCCATGGCACGCCACGACTCCAAGGCTTGCACCTGCCGCCAAGCTTTGCCAAAACGCCTCCTTAACTCATATCTGTGTATAAAAATGAATAATAACTGAAAATACATATAAAAATATTAATTATATAGAAAATTGCCGCCTTAAGTCACGCCTTACAAACGTTATGACTCGCCAAGGCTCGGAAAAGCTTGAGGCTTGACATTGCCGCCAAATCACGCCTTACGTTATTTAGAACCTTGCCTAGGTCCTACATGATGATAAAGGTATTGAGCTATTTACTTTCCATGGATGGCGTTGGGTTGTTAGGATTCAGGAAGTGATATATGAAGAGCTCTTCTAGAGTTCTTTTTTACAGTTCACTTTAACAAGGTTTCAACGAATTTGGCTGATAAATCGGTCTTGTCTTTTCACCTGGGAGGCATATCATGCTCCTGCAGCTTGATTGAGCTGGGGATACATTTAGGGATTTATAAAGAGGAGGAGACCAGACAGGTAGAGCAGCATATCTTGAGCTTGCCTTCGAGAGGCATCAAAGACCTATGTATGCAGAGGCCTATCGAGAGCTAACTCTACGTGATGTGATGCAAATTTTGGATGCTATACAAGAGGAGCATCATTGGATTATGCTCTCCATTTTTGGGGTGATGCAACATTTAGGGATGGATCACCCACCCTTTCCTCAGGCATGTCCTACATTTCCCCCATATACTCAGCCAAAGGGTGCTGGTTATGATGGTGCTTGCCCTTTAGGTATAAATCATGGAGATACTGATGATGACATTACGGAGGATGAGGAGGACAATTACGAGAGTAGTGATGAGTAGGTGGGAGGGTTGATGTATTTGTTTGTATGTTGATACTACTTATTTCTATGGGATATATTTTTTTTGATACACTTATGTATGTTTATACTGTTTACTTTGGTTTGTATTAGATATGTATTTATGGTTTCTATTTTATCATTCACCAAGCCCAAATTCAGTTAATGTATTGGTCCATTAAAGAATAAACATAGGTGATCAGACTACGTTTAGTTGTAACTCAACCTTTAGATACTGAATCAGCTTAGATAACTAACATACATAGTTTTCATTCTTGATTTGTATATTTAATTGTTATGGGTTGGGGATTATTATTGTTTTGTACTTTTAGATTATCAAATAAGGATTGACCAAATGAGAAGTGTCGGAGGGTAGGATCATTTTAGCATATAGCCGTTTTGAAATCCAGCAACCCAAGCGACAGTTCAAACTAGTCACCTCTCACGTAAGTAGTCTATCAGTTGGGTAATTAACAGTAATACTTTTATTTATAGGTTTGAGGACAAACCTAACCAGAATATATGTCCTAGGCTATAGTCGTGATTCCCATAGAAGTACTAATTCGCAATAGCAAGTAGCTCTGATACCATTTTGTCAAACCTCCCCCGATTGTTGGCGGAAGCGTCAAGGGGTGACGGTGGTTCCACAAATTACCCAAATCACAGAGAACAAACCACAATCACCTTTTTATAAATTAATGATGTCTATTACATGGAATAAATAAAACCTATCTATCTTCAAGCTGATTGTCCTTCCTTGCGTTGATCCTGACTCCATCCTAGGAATACATGCGATTTTGGAAACGTCAACTTAATGTTGGTGAGTTCACAGGTTTAAATAAACATTAAATAAACTATTTTAGAAAATTCTACATTGATTGTGATCGTTTTTCTTATATTCCTTGTTGCGTAGATTTTACTAGATTGTATCTTCCACAGTTCTTTGTATCTTGAAACTTATAGGTTTCCCGAATACTTTAAATTTTAAGGTTTTGTATTGTTTTCTTTTTAGGATATTTTATTAATGCTAATTTATTATACATCCTTAGGATATTTTACCAATCCAATCTTATTATCCTTATGATATATTTTACCAATCCTAACTTACTATATTTATAGGATATTTTACCAATCATAATTTACTATCTTTATAAGATATTTTACCAATCCTAATTTACGATCTTTATAGGATATTTTACCAACCTAATTTATTATCTTTATATGATATTTTAACGCTCCTAATTTACTATCTTTATAGTATATTTTATCAATCATAATCTACTATCTTTGTAGGATATTTTACCGATCTTAACTTCTTTTATTAGCAACTCAAAGACGTCTCTTTAGGTAGTTGATTTCCTTTAGGTTGCTAGGATACATTACCATGAACCCCCATAATCGACGTTGTGGACTAATAATTTCCCCCGCACAACACTTTATCGAACTT